ATGCCAGGTCTGCCTCCTCGTCTAATATTAAATCCTGGACGAGGGGGGCTTTGTTCACAACTGACGTGGCATTTAGCAACAACAATCTGAGACCAGGGACCTATACTCCTCTGCCACCAGATCCTTGAGTTGAGCCTGAGGGGCCAGAACAAGCAATCGCTGTAATATAGCGAGTCCTTCTTCCCCGGTAATGGCTAGCCCTACAGCTCCCATCATATCTGCCCCTCCCAGTCATGACCGAAATGCTCCGACGTCCCTCTATCCCCGTAGACCCCTCCCCCTCTCCCATGGCCCCCATTCTTCCCGGCAGGTCATGTATTCCATTCACACAAGGACCAGAGGTGAATCTGGGCCCCCATCCACTTCTGCTTCTGCACTCAGTGGAGGGGACTCCGGGTCGCATCCCTGGTCCTACCATACTCACCAATCAAACACTCTCCTCAGACACGCTCCACACTAATTACTAAAATACAATAGAATAAATTAAAAGTGGGAACATTTTCTCTCACATTCATACACTCATACACCCTGCAAACCGGCTAAAATGCCATTCCTAATTAGATAGGCAATTACAATAATTTAAGAACGGTAAAAATTAAATGTCCTGGAAGGGAAAGAGGGGGGGAGGAGCACTCAGACAGAGGCGCTTGTGAGCGGTGGCCAGGTCCAGGTGCAGCGTGGCAGGCACTGGCTGGATGACCTAGAAGAGGGCTTTCCAGATGGTGTATTGCAGAGGCCCCATGTATTTCAATGTGGGGAAATCCTCATAGGCGAGACTCGTTTCGTGGATCTTCCCCTTCAGCCTCTAAGAGAGAGGCGATGCCCGCCAGGAAGTTGTGCCTGTCGATTACTGCCAGTCTTTTCTGCAGGAACTGGTTACGTTCCTGCACTCTACACAGCTGCAGGCTGTAGCGCTGGATCTTCTGCTCGATGTCAGTCAGCGCCTGGGCCGAATTGGCCTCCAGCTCCTCCAGCATGGCCTTCTGGCATTCACGGAGCAGCCAATGCAGCCACTCAGAGGCCTCGCCGATGTGCCCATGCTCGCTGTCCCAGAGGGTCTGCAGCTACTCCTTCAGCTCCTTCATAAGGATGTAACCCACCACGGCAGGGCTATAGTTCGTCTTCTTCCACAGTGTGCCAGTGTAGGCCGGTTCATCCGGCGTGCCCAGAGGCCTCCCTGAAGGCCTGTTCCCCAAAGCCGGCCCGCCGCTTCCCTTGGCGGGGCCCAGCAGCAGCATGCAGTTGAAGCTGAAAGTGCTGGCCTTGTTGTCCCGTTTCCTCTTATTGGTGGCCGCTGCCACCGCTGAAGCGGCGGCCGAAGTCACACAGGGAGCTGAGGCCGCGGCGGCCGAAGAAGGCCCCGCCCAGCGTTGCCCAAAGAAGCCGAGGCGGAGGAAAGCCCTGCACGAAAGTCGGTGCACGCTGCCAAACCGGCAATGTCCTCGCACAGATCCCTTCTCCTTCCAGCTGTCGCCTTCCACTGCAAACAAAGTCCATCCCATCCATGGCAAGACAGGAGGAAGGAAGCGGCGAGGGAGCGAGGGAGCGAGCTGAGAGCTTCCTGGTCGCCGCCCTGAAACTCTCCAACTCTCTTTCTTCCTTACAGTTCCTGTGTAGATTGAAAGAAAGTTGTACATTCTCTGTTGGAGGCTCTTCAATATATTATAATTAATTTGTTCAGTATGAGAAACATTAACAAAACCATAATCGTCATTCTACGATAAATTCATTGAAAGAGCCAGTAGTTCAGTATTTATAATATTCAGCTTTTCTTTCTTTAGTAGGCATAGCCTACTTCAATGATATTATTATACAAAACTTAAGGTTCTGCTCTGAGAACAATTCTGAAAATTCCTCAGCGGGTTAGATGGGAGAAGTAAGCTTTTCTAGGCTAGATAATCTCACAATAAAAGCTTTCTCTAATTCCCTGCTATCAATATATCACCATAGCCTGTTAAAAAAAATGAAGCCAATTGTATAGGATATAGGAAATACAAGTGCAGAAATTTCAGAAGTTTCAAGAAGTAATGTCAACACCTGACAGGTAATGAACTTGCTAATTAAAACAATTACAAGAACCTCTGATCAAAAGACAAAACTAGTAGAAAATTTAGATTTGAATGAACTTAATTTTTTGCCCTTTATCTCATAAAATCTCCAGGAATAAAGTTTGGGGAAAAAACTGATTGAGAGAATATGGTTTCTTAGCATTTTTTTAAAAAAAGGAAAATGTTGTATATCAACTTTTCAAGATCATTTCAATCCTAATGTAAACAAGTATAAAATTATACATACTTCAAAATATATCTTTAAGAAAATATGTGTTTCAAATTATACCTCAAAATTAGTTTGACCTAGTCATGCTCAATGAATCTGATTTAAGCTACAGTGAGATATCTGAATCTTTCATAACTATAGAGATCTATAAAATATATCTGTTGTGGATGTAGTTCTCAATACATGGGAATTATTCTGGTCCTTCCCTCTTTGCTGGACAGAAGAACATTTGGAGTTATTTTAAAGTCTGGCAGAACTCCATAATCTGTAGATTGAGGCAGTCATAGCTGTGATTTCCCAGAACTTCTCATTGCAGTGTGGATATGTCTGGAACCTAAGGATGTCTAGCTAATTAAGATATGAAAAATCTATCTCATGAGAATTCTGGTTTTTAATAAATTCAACCAAGAATCTGTAATAAGATGTCTTTCACTGTATTGTGATAAGTCTCCTGTATTGAGACTGATAAGGACTGAGGCTTAAACACCTAATTCTATAATTTAAACAGAAATAAATTATAGAATTAGGTGTTTAAGGCTTAGTCCTTACCAATCTGGGCACCAAATTACTTTGAGTGTAATTTGTATTGATTTTTTAAAAACTTCTCCAGACTCTTGCTTATGAAGTTTCTGGTTGAGAGAACAAACAACATCCTGTGGTCTAGGTTAGAACATTTTTTTTTTACTGAGTTACAAGCTGTATAACTCTGCCATGAATAGCTTTGTTATTTAGCTCCTTACAATTGAATGTTTGCCTAAAAGATTTTAAAGCAAAAATATTTTATATTTTTCCTTTTCTTTAATAAACTTTGATCTTATTTGTTTCTTGTGAAATTTGGCTATCTCCCAAAGAGTGGTGGAACCATGGAAGGGCTGTATAGTCTAGCCAAAAGCTTATAAGCTACATGGCCAGGAGGTTGAACAAAAGAAATTATTTCATTCCCCCATTCCATTTTTCCCTTTTAATCACAGAAACAGCATAGATGATGACAGGTCTACCGTATTTTTTTGGAGTATAAGACGCACCAAGATTTTGAAGAGGCAAATTAAAAAAAATGTTTTTGCACTTTGCAGACATCCCAAAAATGGTCAATTTTTCACAAAAACGGGCCCATTTTTTTAAAGGGCATGCATAGCCTTTAGAAGGCTTGTAGAGTGCTCCTGGGGACTGCCCCCCCCCCAAAAAACAAGCAAAAAATGGCCCATGTTTTGCAAAAATGGGTCCTTCTTTTGTCAAAAAAGGGACCTGTATAACTTTTAGGAGCCTTGTAGAGTGCTTCTAGGGCCTGAGGGGGCAAAAATGACCAAAGAACAGTCTGTTTTTCACTCATTTTTGCCCTTCCCAGCCCCCAGAAGCACTCTGGAAGCCTCCTAAAGGCTATGCATGGCCATTTTTGCAAAGGGGGCAGGGTTTTGGATGGCCAAAAATGCTGTATTCAGTGTATAAGACACACCCAGTTTTTCACCCTCTTTTTTGAGGGAAAAAGGTGCGTCTTATATTTCGAAAAATACGGAGTATAAAAATTCTTGCGCCATTATGATTGGGGGGGAAGGAAGATACCATATGACTCACACACTAAAAGATAAATGATTTTATTTGCGAAGTACCAAGCCATTATCCCCCAAGGTATGAAGATCGAACTGGGATGTGAAATCTAGAAAGATTTTGACACAGGTTTATCTCGGGCTTTCTGCCCTAAAGCTTAGCTATGTCATTATTCTGTATGTTTTATTTAGATCTTCTGCAAAATTAGTCCTCTGCGCTTATTTTAAGTAAATCTGAGGTTAAATTAAAACACAGAAAGATCTTCAGGCAATTTTTAAAGATTGCTCTTTCCACAGCAAGACAAATGTACTTATCTCAAAATTTAAATAGATTATTTTTTCTAAAATTTCTGTTACTGTGACAATGGGCTGTATATTAATCTATTACATATAGACTGAACACCATATGAATGTTATTAATGAACTGTACTATATGTAGTAATGTGTTGTATGTAGCTCTTGAGGCTATCTAGTTGAAAATCACTTGTAAGAAATAAGATACTTCAAACAGCTAAATCAATGCTGTTTAAAAAATATCTTCTTTAATTTTTTTAAACATCTCATACCATTAAAGGTTATCCCAAATTTTAAAACTAAATTGGTGGTTTTCCTATACCAATTACATTATAAATTACACTGGTCAAAGAAAGTTTAAAAAATGCAACTATGAACTACTTCAGTAACAGAGTTCTAACTTTGGCTAATTAAGAACAAAAAACACTCAAAGACTGAAAAAGATGCTCACATCATGTGTTTATATCATTATAACTTTACAAAGAGGTTGTGTTTCACAACGGTTGCCTTTACAGATAAATAATTTAAAAGTTAAGTTGGTTTATATCCTGAGCTTTCAAAGCAACATCAAATACTTGCCTATAATTAGTTTGTTCTTGCCTATAAATACATTGTTGCTATTTGTAAATTTTACTTACCAGTATGTGTCTAGCAGTGGCTGAATCATTAGTCATTTTCTTTGAAAGCTGAAAGGGACAACATAAATCAAAGGAGATTTTTTTCCTCTTTGTGCTTACGGTACTTCCATTTTCTTCAATATGATGGGGATGAAGTCCTATGTAAAAGAAGAAAAGAGTCATTCTCTTTTGTTCTTTTGTTTCTCTTAGTAACCAGGTAACCCAACCCCAGGTATGTAATCTGGTGGTTTGGTCTCCTAATCAACACAGCATTTAATAAAAGCTAGCTCCTCTTTCTGTCTTGAGTAGCAACACCATTTTAACACTGATGTTTGAATGGTCAGAACAATTTTCTTTTTCTTGTCAGTATAATCCTGCTTGGCTTCTAGAAGGAAAATGAACAGAATTTACTCACAGGTAATCAGCCATATCTTTAGGATAATTATAATTACCCTTATGGATTAAAATAACAAATTTTGTTTTCTGTAAACAAGCTACAAATGCTAGACTATCATGTGCAGTTACTTTAGTAATAGAAAGTTGAATGGAATATAATTGAATATATTTATTGACACGATTCTTCAAATATGCATAAGGATATATGATGTAGTATTTTTTAATTACTTCAGTTTTTTCTTTAATTTTATCCCAGCAATAATACCCTGTATAATAACCCCAATGTGTTGCAATGTGCTTCATGGTAAAGCATCTTCAGAGCTCCTGAACTTGGCCTCTACTGCCTTAACTGAGGTAGCTAATAAAGTAGTTACTTGCTTTAAAGATCTTGGCTCAATATTTATTTTATTTTTATTAATTATAGAATTTTGATACGGATTCACTGGGTTCAACCAAATCCCATCTCACTGATATGAAAGGTAAAAAGTTCTGAATACTTAATTCAGTGACAAAGTACTAGATGCTTATTAAGTATGGTGAAGTGATTTTTTGGGGGAGAGTAGAAAATACACAGTCACAGCACACAAATACACACACAATTAATGATGCCATAGGAAATTTTTATAGTTTTGAATTAGAAAATTGTTAACAGTATATTAATATGTTAGAAATAGAAAATGCTACCCATGCAAAAATGACTTCTCATAGGTTATAACTAGGAAATGTATATTATGAAACTTGGAACAGAGAGAGGTATTATGATCTAATTCCATATTAAATCTTAATTTAATCAATTTAATAACATTTGTGATTTTAAGGTACTAGAATAGTGGATGGATGGATGGATGGATGGATGGATGGATGGATGGATGGATGGATGGATGGATGGAAAATGTGGCTGTACAAATGGAAAACAGGATAGCATTTTTAAATCATTATTATTCATCTTTCACTTCTTTATGTGCATATATTCCCAGTCCTACTAGCTGGGGATTGTGTCAGTGATGATCCAAAACTACTGGATGAAATGAAATTGTACAAGGATGTACTAACATTTTACTACTTTGAGTAAGAGAGTTTGTAGACTTTCAAGATAGACACATAAAAGGATAACAGTTATTATTTTATTTTATTTTTCTAAAGCAATTTTATGGCCACCCAACTTACACAAAGCATACAAAAAGGGAAAAAATGATAACCAACAAATACAAAAAACATATAATTAAAAGCTAATAAGCAAAAATAAAAAGAGGTGATTGTGGCAGAGGTATACTATAATTCCTCAGCATGGCGCTCTACACACCTGATCGTCGTACAGGAAAGGAAGCAAGTCTTCCCTGCCTTTCTAAAAGTCTGTATGTACATCCATATCTACGCTAAAGAAAAAGAGACATATGCACTTGAGAAGGAAATGGGGAAAATAAATGGCACGATTTTCCTCTAAAATAGCATAAATGGAAGGATCTGATATCACTCATCAGTACAGAATAACATTAGAAATATTGAGAAATTTATTCTCTGTTGAGCTACTTAAAGATTGGAAAGCCAAAACCCAAAATGTGATAAATATATTCCATGTGGGCTTGGATTCCTGTTTATTTCCTTAGTTTTCTTGCGATGTTCGTTGAACAAGAGGCGTAGCTTGGAACACACCCTTTTAACTGCAGAAGAATCAGATTCTGTCTTCAATCTGTTAATGTTTGTAAAACATTACAAACAGGAGGTTTAAAAAAAACTTTTCCAAACAACCTAAAGAATATTGCCTGAATAAGGACCCTACATTTCTAAAATAAATGGCATAAAAGACAAATGTATTTATTTATTAGATGTTACCATATAATTTGATGAAGACCGATTTGGAATTCCGCCTGGACAAAATAATCTTTGTGTTCCATGACATTAAGGCAAAAGGAAGTCCATTAGATGAATGTTTCTCAGTTTCAGGAACTTTAAGATGGGTGGACTTCAATTCCTAGAATTTCCCAGCCAAAGTGAAGTCCACCCATCTTAAAAATTCTGAAACTGAGAAACACTGCATTAGATTTTGCTTTAAGAGATTTGGAGAAATGAAAATATTACAAAATTCATGCTGTTACAAGGTAAAGATAAAGGTTTTCCTTGCACATATGTGCTAGTCGTTCCTGACTCTAGGGAGCAGTGCTCATCTCCGTTTCAAAGCAGAAGAGCCAGCACTGTCCAAAGAGGTCTTCATGGTCATGTGGCCAGCATGACTAAACGCTGAAGGCGCATGGAACACTGTTACCTTCCCACCAAAGGTGGTTTCTATTTTTCTACTTACACTTTTTTTACATGCTTTCAAACTGCTAGGTTGGCAGAAGCTGGGACAAATAATGGGAGCTCACTCCGTTACGCACTACTAGGGATTCGAACCACTGAAGTACTGACCTTTCTGATCAACAAGCTCAGTGTCTTGGCCACTGACCCACTATGTCCCACCATGTAGCTATACAGGCTTTATTTTTAATGTGAATAGATCATATGGTTCATGACAAGAGCAAAGACTTTTAAGCATATAAATATTTTATATGAAGGAAAAAGTAAAGTCTCCTGTAAATCAGGTTCAGATGATGGCTAACCTCTCTGTTGTTTTCCTGGCAATGATACAGAAGTACTTTGACACTGACATTTTCAGGAGGTTCTTTTAAAAAAAAATCCCATCAAGCTACGGTCCTGGCGTTCCTAGTAATCTCCCGTGCAAAATCCAATCAGGTCCAAGTTGCTTATGTTTTTGTGATCTGCCATGGTCAGGCAAGCACTAGTCACTGTATGGAGCAGATTGCAATGATGCTAGAATCCGTGTATTTTCTCCATGACACTCCAATGGTCTTCTGTAGGTATTTTAGAAAGAAATTAATTATTGGGAGCTGGCAGGAACCAATAATATGCGCATGAATTTTACAGTAGTTTTCTTTCAATAGCAGGTACCACTTATGACCAACCAGACTGCTGCAGAAAGTGTTTTTCATGGACCCTTTGCACTCGACGATGCATCTGTGTATCTGCCATTAGTCTTATTATACTTGGTATCATCATTGCGATCATCGCATTGGCTGTGACCGTCGGCATTCCTCCTCCTACCCCAGGTCAGTTATTTCCAGATTTCAGTTTTAGTCTGACATCTATACCACAGGAAGAACAGTTGTGGCTCTTTCAGTATGTTGGATGCAGAGGTGATATTCGGCAGGTTCTCACCAGTTCTGGAGAACCAGTATCGGAAAGTATGAGTAGTTCGGTGAACTGGTAAATACTGTCTCTGACTGGCCCCGTCCCCATCTATTCTCTGCCTTCCAAGTCCCAGCTTATTGGGAGGGAATGGAGATTTTACAGTATCCTTCCCCTACCATGCTCACCAAGCCATGCCCACCAAGCCATGTCACACTCACCAAGTCACGCCCACAGAACCGGTAGTAAAAAAGTTTGAATCCCACCACTGGTTGGATGGTGACAGTGTTGTCTGAAATATCAAGAGTTAGAAGAAAAGAGAACTTGATTGTTTATCAATATAACCAGTAATGGACATTTTTAAAGCACAGTTTGATATGTCATCAGTAACCACTTCAGAGGGTCTCATACGCTTTTTGTGCTCTTTGTAAAGTTTCACGGTCAGGGAAATATCTATTGCTTGTAATATTTATATAGTGGGTGGTTTTTTTATTTAGTATTCTAGGTATTTTCCATAAACAGGTGTCTATGGACTGATTCAGATACTCTGATTTCGAAACAGCGTTGCCATGGTTGCAGCTAGATACTAGAAATGACAATTCTAGCCTTATGACCTAGCATCAGTAAGTCTCTTATGAGTCACTATTGACTTTTCAAACATAACCATGGAGTTTTCTTGGCAATAGGATGGATATGTTTTGTCATACCATCTTTTAGGGCTTCATAGTCGTACAAACCAACCCTGATCCTGTTTAGTTTCTGGGCAAAGCTAGGTCAGCCAGCTCCTACTATATGTACTCAAGTGAATCAACATAAAACCCATAAATGAATCACTTGATCACTTCTTTTTCTGCCCAACTGACATGAGCATGGCAAGATTGTTATGTGGGTTTAGACTAAACTAGGTCCACTAAATCTATGGAAGCTAAACCATACAATTATTATTTCCCTCTTAATAAAAATGCATCTATTTCTTTAAAGAAACTAATTTTATGGAAAACCACATTTATATTATGCAGGACAGCATGTCACTATCAAGAGCAGTGAAGGTAGTGCAGCCTCATATACTATTTTTGTCCCTCTCCATCCCTCATTTACCCATTTAAGTGGGAAGGTCTAAAATGAGATCCTAAGGTTAGCAGTACATCAGTTAGATGCAACCTTCCTTCAGATTTCCCTCCTCAAAGTGGGAAGATCAGGGTGAAGGTGGCAAAGTCACCTTACATAACCTTTCTATCAGGGGTGGTATACACTTACTTTACTTCCAGTTCGCAAATGTGAGTGTGCATGCATCCTTCTGCGCATGCACTTTTGGTGAAAAAATAGCCTAAATGGGATGCCATAGAGCCAGGCTACTTGTTTCGGCTACTGGTTTGGGCGATCTGGTTCGAACTAGTAGAATACCACCTCTGCTTTCTATGCTTATACATGCTGTAGTAGAGTATAAAAGGGGCTTATTAGATAGAGATAGGGCCACTCTCTTAATTGTATGTCAGCTATGTAATTATCCAAATTGCTTTTTTGAGTCAGATGTGTAACATCCATAATATAGCTTATAATTGGCCAACATTTACCTAAATGAGTGTTAATAGTTCCACTTTGATATACACTGTCATTTTGCAATTCACATCAAGTTCCACACCTTTTGAAGATGAGTTTGACTGCCACTAAAAGGTATATGATCTAATAAAATTAATCATGTGGCTGTCAAAACACTAAGTGCTCAATGCTTTGTAGGACACATATGAAATATATGTAGATGTATCTAATTGTTTTTCAAGTAGACCAATTCTCCTTTAATTCTCATGCTGCTCTAAGTTCAAAGTTGCTTTTATCACCATATAATTAACATATCTGTTACAATATTATATAACTGACATTTTATAGGTATTCCTCGACCTGCAATAGTAATGGAACCTCCCCATTACAGCTAAAACGGTCTTGAAACGGCTCGTGTGACTAACCTGATTTAACAACTTTTGCAGCAGACATTAAGTGATTAAGTCATTAAGTAAACCAATTGTTCACTATGGCTGGATTTGCCAACAACCAGAAGTAAATGCTGTTTTTTGGCAAAACATTGTAAAACCCGATCACAGGACCACAGGACTAGAGGTGGTATTCAGCAGGTTCTGACCAGTTCTGGTCAGAAATTTCTGGTAGCAGAAATTTTGAGTAGTTCAGAGAACCAGTAAATACCATCTCTGACTGGCCCCGCTCCCATCTATTCTCTCCCAAGTCCTAGCTGATCGGGAGGGAATGGGGATTTTGCAATAACCTTCCTCTGAAGTGGGGAGGGAATGGAGATTTTACAGTATTGTTCCTCTTCCACACCCACCAAGCCACGCCATGCTCACCAAGCCATGCCCACAGAACCGGTAGTAAAAAAAATTGAATCCCACCACTGCACAGGACACTGCAAAAGACTGCAGATCTAGGCAGTTGCTAAGAACCGAATGCGCAGTCACATGACTGCACAGGGGGTCAGCCACCAGAATTTTGGAACTGGGTTGTAAGAACTCCTGGGGAGGTCCATCATAACTTTCAATGGTCCCTAAGCCACTGGTCATAAGTCAAAGAATACATGCATACACTTCAATTAATATTTGACACATAGTATATGTGACAGGATATGTGTCATGACATATGTGACATGATAAAGGCATACATCTTTTAATATTCGATTTCCAAACTTCATGTAATTCCAATTATTGGCCAGAATGGACTGAAGAGGGGGCTTAGCCATCTGATCTGGAGATCCACTAATATGGGTATGGAATCTGTAAGGTAATTACAGTGTTAGGGAGACTGACTATGCTCTCCTGCAAATGATGTTTTATGGTTTTAATGGTTTTACTGCTTCTAATTTTTGATTATTTGTTGCATAATTTTTGACTATTTGTTGTACAGTACTGTTCTTTGTGATTTTAACTTTGTATACTGCCTAGAGTCTTAGTAACTGTCTATTTGTTCTGTGACAGTTCTGTAGAAATTACCATGTTTCCTTGAAAATAAGACTTTTGACCCTCGAAATAAGTGCTTGGCCTTATTTTCAAGGAGGTCTTATTATTTTTTAGGTGCAGGAGGCGGCGAGCGTGGTCACTTCATGACTGCTGCTGTGTTGAAATATTTTTGGGGAGGGCTAATTTTCCGGGGAGGGCTCATTTTAGTGCATGCGCTCAAAAGCCCAATTGGTCTCATTATCCAGGGAAGTCTTATTTTCAGGGAAACAGGGTATGTTAAATTCAGTTTTAAAAGAAAAGTGGAAAGAAGAAATTATAGTATCTGAAGATTAATCTGTAGATCTAAAGCCTGGCCCGCGACACCGGCCTCTCCTTCACCCAGGTCAGCAACTGGTTCAAGAACTGGCGGCAGCGCAACCAGGGAGACGGCGGTGGTGGAGCGGCCGGAGGAGCCGCGGGAGGAGGAGGAGGCACACCCAGCAAGAGTGAATTGGATGGCAACCCCAGCACCAAGGATGAGTCTAGCCGTGGTCCGGAAGAAACGGAAGCCATGCGGGGCCTGTCCGCCAGCCAGGAGGGACTCGCAGGCCCCGGCAGCCTCTTCCTCCCCGGGGCCTGCACCAACACCTCGTCCACCCTCCTAAACGGGAACTTCATCACTGCCAGCTCTCCCCCCGCCGTGCTCCTCAACGCGCCGTGCTCCTCAACGGGGCTCCGTCATCCAGACCCCCACCGGAGGTGTCATCCTGAACGGGCTGATGCTGGGAGACAACCAAACAATCACCCTCAGCCCCGTGGCTGCTCCCAGCCCGCCCATCCTCCTGAATGGCTCCGCCAGCCTGCTGAGCCCTAGGACCCCCAAGATGAAGGAGATGGGCAAAGCACCCCCTGGAGACCCTCTCCCCAGCCACGGTCATCCTCAACCCGGCAGCTCTCCAGGGAGAGGTGAAGTCGGAGAGCATGGACCCGCTGGCGTTCGGGGTGGAAATGAAGCCGGAGACTGCTGGGCAGGGGGCAGTTCTCCCTCCCCTCCTGTCTCTCCCGGAGGCCTCCCCGCTCCTCTCCGAGCACAAGGGGGCGCTGTTGGCTGCGGTGCCCATGCCCCAAGTGGTCCCTTCCAATGAGGAAAGCCCCACAATCCCCCTGTTCCCCATAGCCCCTCAACCGGCAGTGCCCCAAAGTCCGCAGATTGTGCCTCTTGCTAAACTGCTACAGTTAAGTGACTGTCTGGGGACAAGACCGTTCGGAACCACTGATCGGGACTTCCAATTTTTT